CCCYTTTKGSMRRAAAMMAAAAAAACAAAAAAAACCAAAAACAAAACAAAACAAAAATCAAATCAAAACAACCGGGAGGAGGTAAGGGCACACCCTTCGGGGGCCAGTGTTCTTGGCTGGGCGGTGCGATCAAGGGGCAGGGCTTTGTCCTGGCTTCCTGCTTTTCTGGGTCCAGGTGGGCCTGCCTGGCGACCCCGGCTCCGTGGCAAAGGCTGGGTGGGCCTAGATGTACAGCGGGGTCTCCTGGCCCGTGAGGAGCCTGAACATGGCAGCAGGCATGGTCTTCATGTGAATCTGTCAACAGAGACAGGAGAATGAGCTGCTCACCCACTCCCCACAGGTGCTCCCCACAGGTGCTCCCCTCGGTGCCGTCAAGTGAGAACCAACAGTCGAGGTGAACATCTCCCAAGAGCCTCCTGTTGAGAATGCCAGTGCCTCCGAGTGAAGGAAGAAGGAGGTGCTGTGCAGACAGACCCGGGTTCCCCATCCCTGTCTTCACACAGTCAAGTGCTAGTTTTCCCTTCAGCTCATGCTGACATCAGGAGGGTGGAAAACTGGACTTTTAAGGGTGTCTGCAATTCGCCTCCTCGGGTGAGGGAAGGCTGCAGCATCCCCAGGAACCGTGGGGCGTGCACTGTGCTTCAGTGAAGGGGAGACCAAGAGAGCCCTGCCCACTAGGCTGGTGTTCTGGAGGGCTGGGGACGGGCTCACTGAGGAGCGGGCTGCCCTCAGACCATCATCCTTTCAGAATCCCTTAGGGAATAACCCTCAGKGCCTGACCTCCCCCCCTACCTGGCTCCAAACAGGATGGGCATAAAACAAGGAAGGCATGAGGCTGCTCCCCAGGGACACCAACCCCAACATCCTTGAGGACACTGGACAGAAGGCATGTCTTGGGAGGCAAACACCAAGCCACTGGAAGCAAAGAAAAGGTGAGCTCCAGCCCTTCCCAGCCCAGCAGAGTGCTGTGCTCCGGGCCGGAGGGTCTGCCTTGCCCACTGCCTCTATGGGTGGGTGTTGTTTCTGAAATATCTAGCTGGCCTGGGTGCTGCTGGCCTCTGCCCATGCCCAGTGCTCAGGGAGAGGCTACCAGGAGTTAGCCRCTGATCCCACCCAGGTCTGGCCTTCCTCAGGCAAACAGGCTCGGGCCCTGGTCTGACCAATGCAAATAGGTAAAACTTGCAGATAAGATTTTCCCACCTTTGCCCCTTCAACGTTTGTTTGATCTGTTCAGATGTTGGCTCTTCCATCACCCTAGGAAGGCTTTTTCCATCAGAAGTTTCATTCTGGGCAATGCTTCAGTCTGAAACCCACCCCAAAGGCTCATCTAAACTTCAATCTTGTTTATCAGTGACTAATTTTCCAAACGTGCTCAGGCACGATGGAAAACGCAGGCAAGTGCTTTCATCTCCCAGCTCAGCCAGCAGGTCTGCGGCCGGCGGGGGCTGACGGGACTCCAGCACCTCACAGCCCGTTCTCCTGCCTCTTATTTGAAATCAATCCATCTGGGTGTGAGGAGTGGGAATCATTTCTCACYGCTCCCAGCCTGGCTTCTCCTCTGGATTGATTTCTCTGTGGGTGTGAGGCTGATGGCTCCCGTGTGGGCAGCCATTTCCAAGCGCCTACTTAGGAAAATTGGATTTTCCTTTCTTGGAAGCCATTTGTAAAGGGAAGTTAATGGCAGCTTCCCCAGCCCCTCTCTTTCTTCATAGAGTCAGCCATCGCCACCACCATTCGGGGCGGGGGGAATGTGCCTCCTCCCTGGGCCTCAGCAGTTTCACAAAATACCGAGTGTCCTGATGTGGCCCAGGAGATGGGATCCGAGGGGTGACCTGGAGATGGCTCACCTCCCCACCCACACTCTAAAATGGAGTCCAGGCTCTCTGCCTCACATGGCCACCGGGGGAGCACCACACACCACCCAGAGCCTGGCCGGACCCTCAGTTGCAACCCAAACTCTGCCTGGGCCCTCTCCCCACTTATCTCTCCAGCTCTCCTGGGCCTTACTCTTTGGGCCATCACCCATGCCTCTCCCAAAGAGACTGTCACCCTTCTTGAATGAACTGCCTTCACAGGCTCACTCACACTCCTATACTCACACATGTGAACACCCAAACTCACAGAGACCCTCACAAAAACACCCACACTCACTCACTCCCAGGTACACTAATACCCATGCCCACCCACCCACACTCTCATATACACTCGTTCATACACACCCACTCATCTACATTCACACACACACCTTCACGGGCACCTTCACACACCTCACACATACACACGCGCCCACATTCATGCACACCCCTGTACCACACCGCAGCGGGAAGGCCTGCTCCCCGTGTGCCGCGGCATCTCCCAGGCTGGCCTCCTGCTCGTCACACCGAGATATGTGGCCCACTTGTGAGCCTCTTGGGACATCTGTGCCCTTCCCCTTGGTACCCTGGACCAYCCTCCTGATGCCATGGAAATGACACCAGAAAGAACTAGACCAGGAATAGGTTCCAAGTCGACWGGAAGGAAAGGGCTGAGTCTTGCTCTGAGAGGGCAGGCAGCAGGCAGGAGGCAAACCCCATGCCACAGTGATCCAAGCCCCAGGCCCTGGAGGGCTGTCCCAGCAGAGGAGAGGGGTTCCAAATGGCACGTGAAGGATTCAGTTCCAGAAACTGTGCAAAGGAGCTCCATCCCCAGCCTTTGCCCTCCTGTCTGTGGAGAGACATTCAGCTGCTTTGTTCAATTGAGCCAGGAGGGACGGCCAGGCCCTGCCTGCCATTCTGCTCATCCTTGTGACAGGCACTGGTAGGGTGGAAGCCAGTCTGGCCTGCCCAACAGATGCCCAGTGGCCCCTGGAGAGGTGGTGTCTCTCAGAGGTCAAGGTGGGCAGCACACATGAGCCAGCACACAGAGGTATGTCCAAGGTCCCAGTAGGGTCTCCTTGTCCCAAGAAGGGTAGACTTCCCTGGGTGGGGACCAGTGGCTTTCCCAAGCACATCATGTATCCCCTCGTGTAGCCCATGGGGTTAAATGTTGGTCATGGAAGAAGTAGGGGCCAAGATACCCCTCGACTCTGGCCACAAGAAAATGACAAGGGATGGAGGGGAGATGGGCAGAGTCTTACCTCCCCAACAGAGTTGGACAGAGCCTGGACTATCTTCTCATGGGCTGTGGCCACCACACTCTGCCCATTGATCTCGATGATGCGGTGGCCAACACGGACGCCACCTCGTTCGGCGATGCCCCCTCTCATGAGGCTGCAGATCTGAGTAGACACGGTTGGGTCAGCATGCACATTCCCACCACATCCCCAGGGGCTCCACCATGTCCCCAAAGATGGGAAAGCAGAAATTACTCATGCAGAGAGAACAGCCTTACTTGACAAATACTTCTACATGTAATTCCCTGACTCATGAAGGGACATTTATGATTTGGAATATGTTAAAAGAGAGAGAGAGAGAGAGAGAGTCAAAGCTGTGGTGTGAGTGGGGGACCATCCAGGTCTTCAATCCTCCCACGGTGGAATCTGTGACCTTTGCTCCTGGTGTTGGCAGAGGGTGGGGGGGCAGTGTTGTGCACAGTCGGTACAGGTTCTGGATGATTCTCTGCCAGCTGCACCCTAGCCATCGTTCGGGGGAAGGCAATCCCATCCCCACTCTCCTGAGGACAGAGGAGATAAACTCGCAAGCTGACAACTGGAGTTTAGGAAACGGACAGTGAAGGCTGTCAGTGTGTCTTCATTAAAAATCCAGGCGTCAGAAAGATGAGCGTTCGTGGGACACCAGAGGGAGAACAGCCCCTGGAGGGTGGGGCCTGTCAACTCATTAGAGAAGGGAGGATGGGAAGGACCAGGGGGCAACACCCAAAAGCATGGGTTCCCTGAGGAACCCACGAAAGGCATGGAGATGAAGGTGCCGCAGCAGKAGGAGAGGTTGAAGTCCTGGGACCCAGCTCGAGATGCGGTGAGGTGGGGCAGGGAGCAGAAAGTGGCCCAGCCTCCCTCCACTGCCAGCTGCTCCCAGGGGCCAGGGATCTTAATCCGCTGACAGCCAGGCAGAGTGATGGGTAGGCAGCAGCCTCATGGGAGCAGAGGCATCCCGAGAGCGGCCACAGCACACTTGGTGCTCTCTCATGTCCACCCCCTGCCCCTGCCCCAATCCCAGACACCTCAGCCAGCATGAGTGAGCCCTCAGAAGCCCCTGGGCAACATGGGCCACACAGGGACAGTGTCCAGCCCCGTGCCCAGCACTGTGTTGGCATCACTGCCCGGAACTCTGTGTTTGCAGATGAGGAAGGTCGGGCCCACAGGCAAGTGCGAGAGGTCCAGGCAGGCGTGACTTGTCCTCCCTTGCCTAGGGACACACATGACGTCATCTGAGAGCCTCGATGAATTCATCATGGCTTTCTGTCCTTCAGTTTCCTCTCTCTGGGAACCCTAACAGCCCAGCTACCATCTCATTGGTGTTTTTATGACTTTTGACAGGTCCTCAGATTTAAAAGGCAGGAAACCATGACTCAGGCCAAGCAAGGTGCTTCTGGAACACCAGAGGGAGAACRGCCTCAAAGGTCAAGGGTCAGCTGTCCACAGGAGAGGCTGGTGTGGATGCCGGGAGATCTCAGGCAGGAAAGCGGGGCCCTTTCATCCCATGGAAAGCTTGTACCTTATGGCTCTTAGTGCCGGGAAGTGAATCACTCCCTGCTTGTCCCAGAGACTTGGGAGTTTGGGGAAAGCCCCACCTGTGTCAGAGTGCTGGCTGGTGTGGCCTCCGCCATCTAATTCCTGAGCTGAGCGCCTCCACCAGCCTATCCCTGCCCCTCTCCCTCAGCACCTGGAAGTGCATCTCTTTAAGAATGATGTAGGCTTAAACGTCYACTGCCCACAGGCTGGCCCTAGTGGCCCCCATGTGCTTCCTGTTTGCCATTTATTTTGTGAGTTCTGCCTGGTTACCCACACAGGTCTTTCCAAAGGGAGCCCACGTTTGAGGATCCTATAGGGTTCCTGCAGCCTGTCCCTCCCCGCACTCAGGACTTCTCCATGTCTGGAAGAAGACATTCTGTGCTGGCTGGAGACACAGGTGCAGACCGATACTGCAGCCCAAGGCGGCTGCCACCTAGCCACYAGGACTCCTGTGGCAGAGTCTGATTACTACCTGGGGAAGCCAGGCTCTTGGRCCAGAGTGGGATCCTCCAGGGAACAGGGGTGTGGGTGGAATGCGGGAGGCTGTGTTTGTGGCTATGGTTGTCTAGAAAAGTGGAGGACTGTGGTGTCCGATGGAATTTGGCTTACCTGATGGCCCACAGACCCTGCACAAGCATTAAGGGATGATTTTATTCTTTTTTCCCCCCAATGACTTAGCGTATTTTGTGTCAAAACTGACTAGTTCTTTGACRATCCAGAAGAAGGTGATTCAGGATCACCGGTGTCACTCCTCTGGCCTGGCCAGAAGAGGGCATTCCTTAGAAAGGGCTATTGTGACTGAGTCCCTGGTGGTGGCTGTCAATCTATTCACGGAGACTCGAGAAAAGAGGACCAAAGGGGAAAAGAAGACAAAGAGGGTGAAAATGGGTTTGTGCCTTAGGAGGGGTGCTGCTGGCAGAACACACTCTGACCCCGACACACAGGCTGTCAGAATCCGGGGGTGAGGAAGGGGAGCAGGGGGTACGGGGTGGGGGAACATGCCTGAGGCAGAGGTCTTGCCGACCCAGGCTCGCCCTGCAGAGACTGAGACTGTGACATATTCTAACTTCATGTTGTGCACTTTGGGAGAAGAARATGGTCTCCCAGCTGGAGGCTTCTTGATTTCTTGGAAGATATTGTGGGAAGAGAGAGGCGGATCCATTTGGAAAGAGCATTAATTGGATCATCAGGGGTTTGCTGCTAATGCTTTGTTACTTCAGGAGTAATGAGGCTGCAAATGGAAAAGGTGCTTATGCAAAACCAGCTCGGATGTGGGCAAACTTCTCCAGGAGACACAGGGGACCCCTGACTCCATGGAGCGCAGCAGCCAGTGGGCGCTAGGCTCCCTGTGGGCCCAGCAGGAGGGTGGACTAGCTCAAGGACCGGAACTGAAGCCTTGATCATGGGCCTCGTGGGCATCTCTGATGCCTGCTTTTTAAAACCCTGGGCCCTAGATGTAAGCATAGGAGTCCTGCACTGGTCAGGGTGCTCCCCATCCACACATGCACCCTCCACTGACACCCTGACACCATGCAGAGAGGCAACGGGCGTRTTCCCTTTGTCCCTGCTCTGCCACTTCCCAGCTGGGAGGCCTGGGGCAAGTTACTTCACCTCCCCGTTCCTAGGTCCTCTTCTGTGAAATGGTGACAGATGATGCCATTCTTTAACTGGACCCTCCCAAACACCGGTTGCCCCAAGGATGCCCTCAATATGCTTGTCCATGGTGGGGGGATTCCACTTCCTGGTTCCTGGAACTGAMCCCAGACAGGTGGACTGGAGAGACTGAGATGCTGAGACTAGATGGATTGGAGAAAAGATGAGCTGCACACCCATGTGTGCACGGTTCACAGGCACCAAGAGGTGGRAGTGACCCAAGTGTCCATGGAGGGATGGATGGATAAATAAAATGTAGCACATCTGTACAGTGGAATATTATTCAGCTGTAAAAAAGGAAGGAAATTCTGATACTTGTTTATGGGATAAACCTCAAGGACATTATGCTAAGTAAAACAAGGCAGTCACAGAAGGACAAATATGTCACGATTCCACTTATAATGAGGTACCTAGAGTACTCCAGTTTATAGACAGAAAATATCATGGGAGGGGAAATGGGGAGGTCCCATTGTTTCATGGGGACAGAGTGTCAGTTTTGCAAGATGAAACAAGTCCTGGGGACTGRCTGTACAGCCGTGTGAATATACGTAACACTTCTAAGCCATATTCCTAAAGATGGCTAAGATGGTAAGTTTTATGTTGCTTGTATTTTACCATAATTATTAAAAAAGRAAAAAGAAAAATAGATGTCCTAGAAGAGCTGAGGTTTAAAGAAAAGGGAGGTAGAGCGGGGGACGGGTGTCCAGGGGCCTCTCTCTCTCTCCTCCCCTGCCACACCCAGTCCTACTCAGCTGCCCTAGAGCTGGGACATAGTTCRTCTCTGCTCACCTGAATACGAAGCCCCGCCACCTGCCCCAGGGAGTGTTTCTGCAGTAATCAGGCAGAAGCCACAGTCAGTCACCCTGCCCAGTCACTGCCTCGCCAGGCACTGTGGAGGCTGGGGACTCCCTACTCACTGCCCAGCCATCTCCCACTATCCCCATGGCCCCTGGCCATCCCTGGCCAGGCAGAGTGAGCACTTGGGGCTGGGGGCCTGGGAAGGGTGGGAGTGGGTTCAAGGGAGCTTTTCCAGGCACTGGGGGCAGGGAGACCTGTGGGCAGGGAGGCCCAGGGAGGAGAGTCGTGGCTGCAGGGCCAGGGGAGGCGGGCAGCAGGAGCCCCAGGTGCCAGGCCAGGCACTGACTGGTGGGCAGGAAGCGGAGGCCACAGTCTCCGAGCCATTGGTGGCATTCTGACCCTGGGGCAAGGGATTTGAACCRGAGAAGCCAGGACCATCAGGTCTCCAGAGTGCCTCCTCACACTCCCCCTTCCTCCCAGTGGGGAAGCTGCTGTGGGACCTCCAGCACCTCCCCCCGGAAGGTGGGTGGGAGAGAGCCTGTGGCCTGTCATGGTCACCTGGCCCTACCTGGCTGTCCCTGACTGAGGCTCACGGCTCTGTCCTCAGGCTGGCCACAGCACTACCTTTCTTTTCCTCTTGCCTTAACTTAGCCTCACAAGGCACCAACCAGGGCCCCAACCCTCCTCGTCTCTCGGCTCCCACTCCTGGACCTCTGTTCTGCACATCCTTTCCGGCTGTGTGACCCCAACAGCCGTGGACCTCGATCTGACGTCCTGGRACAAGTCCCAGGCTCAGCGTAGCCTCCACACAGCTTGCCGATGTGGAGGCCAGGGGACTCCCTACCTACTCACAGTAAGAAAAATTTTCTCTCATTTCTAGTTGTTTTTCTAGAATGTTCTCCTCGTGTCTTTCCTCTGTGCTGCTGGTGAGCACATACATCCTCCCCACTCACCCTGACACCACTTCCTCCTTACCATCTCTCCTCAGCTCTTTAACACTTGGGGCTGTTTTAAATGATTTGGGTATTACTGGTCCCCCTACTTCTTCTATACTCATTTAGTGGCCACATCACTGTCCCCTGGGACCTTTGCAGAAAGAAAACACCAAGGGAAAAAAAACCATGCCAACCAAACTTAGGTCAAAGAGAAAGTGGGAAACTTTTAACTGAAGAACTTTGGCCTGGGGAGCAGGCACAGGTTTTTTGGCCAGCCCAGTATTCACTCAAGCCCAGGAACACCTCCTCCAGGCAGCCCTCCTGCCTCCTTAGTGTCTGACATGGAGTCTGATTCAGGGAAGATATTTCACAAATGTCTCCTGAATCACTGAATGAGTAAATGAACAAGGAAGAAAGGGGTGAACCAATGAGTGATCATGCATTTGTGGAGCAGGGTGAGTCTGATGTCACTATTAATTGTGTGTATTCAAGCTACGGTTTGCTAGCCAAGTCTGCTACCCTCCCTTCCTAAGCAGACATTTGCTGAGTTTAGCCATCACTGGGACATGGGTGCGTAGGCAGGGCTTAGGGACCACTCCTTTCCTGGCCTCCTTTTCTAGCTGGGCCAGCACCCAGGGATCCACTGAAAATTCCTTCCCCATGTGGCTTGGCTCATGGAAGCTGTGCCCAATGGCCTTCCAACCAGACAAGAGCTACCATCCCCCAGCTCCCGACGCCCCGTCCCCACATGTGGCGAAGGCAGCCCAGGGTGGGGAAGTGGACTCACGATTCCATTCTGCACACTGAAGCCCAGCTGGTACTTGAGGTCTGGCCGCTTGATGAGGACCGTGGTGACTGGGGGGCAGCTGACGATGTTGAGCTTCACCTGGGTCTGGTTCTTCAGGCCCTGAAGGAGCAAGGGCACAAGAGTCACAGGAGGGTCTTAGATATCACTTTGGGCAGAAAGGTGGGAACGTGCCCCGGGCCCTGGGAGGGTGTGCTCATGAGAATACACTTCTCGGCCTCGGTGAGCTATCAGCCTCATGGTGCTCCATAAACACAGGTCACTCAGTCATTCACTCGTTTCCTCAGGAAGTCACTTTTCAACCTCAGTGCCTCCTCTATGCAGGGAATGAACCTTATCCTGATTCTCAGGACAGTAGCTGGGTATCCCGGRTGGCAGTGCATATGGTGGCCCACCATAGGCTGGTGCCGTCTCTGACCTGTGCATACACGAGCCATTTCAGGAGTCAGAAGCCAGGCTCTGAGAGCYACTGAGAACCAATGGGTTGAGCATCAGGGTCACCCTCAGGGTGCTCACAGGAGGGGCTGCCGACATGCTGAAGGCAGAAGGAGAACTTCCTCTTTGGAAGGATGTGGGGGATACTTCTTCAAACCAAACATCCTCCAATAATGCACAGTGCCGAGAGGGACAGCTCAATGAGACTCAGCATCCAGAACACCGGAGGCTCTGGGTGCTGCATCGAGGTGGGCTAGAGTCACCTCAGGCCCCAGGGAGGACATGATTATCAGTGAGCCCCCGCCAGACTGCAGTCCTGGGGTCGGGCAGAAGTCCAGAGGCAAGGGAGGGCCCCAGCCCTTTATATGGCTCTAGTTTTCCCCTGCCTGGAGGTGGGGACAGCCCTCATGCACACATAGCCCCCAGAGCTGCAGGGTCTCCCCATATTCATTTCCCACTGGGCAGAGGCTCCACTGGGTCAGCTCCAAAAGCCCATTTGCAGAATACTCTGGTCTTGGGGTGCCTTTCATCTCTCAGGACAAAAGGGGCTTCTTCCAGCACCAGGACCACAGAGGGATAGGGGTGAGGCCACTTATGGGTCACAGGAGCTGCCACCAACAGGCTGCTGTATGGAGTCTGCCCCTCCCGAGGCAGCCAAGTGTAAAGGCCCTCCATCCACTTGCTGGTGTCCCCTCTGCCTGATCCTCTTGGGGACAGGTCATGTTTCCCAAAACTACAAGCCCAGGGGTCAGATGGTCAGAATGGCCTTYCTGGCACACGATCCACATGGCTGACCCACTCTTCCAGTCCACCAGGACCAAGGGGGTTTCCAGAAGTGGGATTTTCAGTGCTAACCTGGGAAAGTACCAGGTAAACCCAAGTGAGTTTGGCATCCTATGCCCACAGGTCCTCAGCCCCTTGCCTCAGGTCAACGTGATTCAGCCCTGGGCCACTGGAGTAGGAACCTTCCCCCAGCGCCTTCCCAGGGCTGCCTGAGTACTTCTGATGTTAACCATGGGGTAGAGTCTTGGCTTCAAACTTTTACTCTGCCACTGACCAGTCACCAGGTGGTTYTCTCTGGGCTTCAGTGCCCTGACATGGGTCAAATGAGGTAGGGCAGAGGTTCCCAATGCGCTCACCTTGATGATGCCCTGGCAGGTGGCGAGAGGCAGCCCCACCAGGCTGGTGCCATTGATGGACATGATCTGGTCCCCGATGCTCAGCTTCCCAGAACGAGCTGCTGGGCCTCCATTCATCATGTTTGCCAGGATCACCGTGGGCAGGATGGAGCCCCAGCCCGACTCTACGACCACCACGCCCAGAATCTCACCCTTGTGCTTCTCCAGCTGAAGCTGCAAGGGAATGGACAGGGTGAGAGGGCCCAGAGTGGGGTCCAGGTTCTGGGCCAAGCACCTACAGAAGGACTGGCCTGACCCAGGTCTGGTGGGTCCTGACTTGCTTCTTGGCCAGTTCCTCTCAGCCAAGAGATGTCTGCTTTGTCCCCTGACCTCACCCAACTTGGGCTCCCCAAACCCTCTGGGGCCCACCAACTCAGGGAACCTGGAAGCCCAGGGTTCATCTCCTCCTCTACCCAGCATGGAAGCCCCCAACCCCAAGCAGGACTCCCATGTCCTGGCTTCTGCTCCCCACCCCCAAATCCACAGAGGCCAGAGGCATGTTCTCAGCATCGAGAGCCCATCCTCTGCTCCCAGGCTTTCCTCTTATCTAGGAAGGTCTGTTTTTCTTTGCCTCAAGAGTGGCTCTCTCAGAAAACGACCTGTCACTTCATTCAACAAACAGTCAAGAGCATTCATTCAAGATATACTCAGATTCATTCACTTGACCAGGATCCAGGATCATTGTTTACTCATTCACTCATTCAATAAGTAGCCAGGATCGTTTGTTCATTCACTCAACAAACTGGTCAGGAGCATTCTTTCATAGGCAGATAAATTCATCTGTTCTAGAAACAGTCATGGTAAGGGCCACCCCCARGGGAACCTGCTGAGGCCTCTTCCGCTGACAACTTCAAAACTGCCCCTGCCAGAGCACCTAAGTTCCCTCTTTTAAAGATGCCTCCCACATGCTTTTCAGAAATATCTCCTGGGTGCTGAGTGCCAGTTGATGATAATAGCAGCATTAAAAGGCACATTTTCAAGGTCATGAACACTGATTGTAATCAGCTTCTTTGTTAGAAACGTCTCATTTCACACACCAGCTCAGCTCAAGGCAGGGGCAAGACGTACATGCTGGGCAGCCCCCGAGTCTGCTGTGAGGCAGTGACGTGCATCTGAGAGACAAATGAAGGCTCACTCCCACCCTAGCAGCCTGGCAAGCTGAGGTGGGGAAGCATTGGGTGTTGCAAGGCTGCCTGGCTGAGTTCCTCAAGAACTTGGCTTGGAGAGCAGAAGCCCGTGGAATGGGCTTCTGGTGGCCTGCAGAGGGCCTACCTCCTTGCAGTTCTCGGAGTTGGAGAAGTGGATGAGGTCATCGTTGTACATCTCCTGGGTGTTGATGATGTCGCTGTACTCCTTCTGGCTGAGGTCTTCTGGGTTGATGCCATTGGCCCGCAGAAACTCCTGGTAGGCCACACTGAAGGCCTGCCCAATGGACTGGGCTATGAGTTGGGCCTGTGGGGAGGGAGCAAGCCCACTAGACACAAGTTTGAAAATTCAGGTTTCACAGGGTCCCTGGTGGAGGGGCTACAGCAGCTGTGGGTGCAGAGGGTGTCCAGAAACCTCCAAAGGGGCCCTTGCTTGGGCTTAAAAGAACAAGAGAGTAACCCTGGGCCCTTGGCAGGTGACAGCTGTCTTCTGCTGATATCTCACCATGGGCCACCACAGGTAAACCAATTTGCTTGTCTTGTACCATCAGGGCCTGGTCCTGACTGTACCTTCCTGAGCTCCTTTATGTCCCAGACATTCCAGGACAAGCCATGATTTCAAATAAACTCAGAGAAAATGGTGAYGTATTTGCTAAATGTCATATTTGATCGCTTTAATTGGTAACTGTACTGTATTTTCTTTTTACCCATCTTACTCCAAAAATAGATTCGAAGTATGCTTTCCAGGGAGCATCACAGACATGGTTAATTGTTCCTCCCACATCTATTTCTCCTGAGCTACAGAACCTAGTACCAGCTGGGTGGGGGCCAGCTGTGAGTATTCTGTTGCTCTCATAAGCAAGACTGTGGCCCATGAGAGGCCTGACACCTTGGCACATCAGTGCAGGCCCTACGGAGCAKATCTTTTCTTGTTCCTTCAACTGAACCATTTCTGTGGATGTTACTGACTCTGACAATACAGAGGCCTTGGACACTGACACTTTAGGATGGGGCCTATTCTGCCCCCTGCTGGTGTGCAGACAGGATGATGGGAAGCGAGAGCTAAAGATTCCTAGCTCCTGGACTAGGCATAGCAAGCTCATGACAGCAGGTTAGCCCTGGGATACCAGTGGGACTTTGGGTGACATCTCAGCACACAGCAGTATCTTCTCCTGCTCCAAGCCCTGGGCTGTATGAGCCCAGCCCAGGTTTGCCCATGCTCCCCACCTACCTCCCATTTGCTATCAAGGTGCCCCCAGCAAATTGGCTCAAAGGTGAAAAGGAAGGAATTGGCCTAAATTCCTTTCTTACTGCACAATGCATGATTTRAGTGCTGCAAATGAATATGCATATAGGAAGGCGCACTGGGCCAGATCATATTTGCAGAGCATCTGGGCCTTTCCTTAAATAGGCACGGATTCTAGGTTGAACTACCCGYGCTGATTAGGCTCTAAACCATTTATAGGAAGGACACATCAACAGTCTCCCTTGTTCTCATGACCAACGTGTTGGTGGCGGGCTGATGTGGTTGCTTGGGTACCACCAGGTGGCGCTGTCGGACTGGACAGGCGCAGAGCAGAGATGGGGCTCCTGAAAGGGCAGCCGACACCAGTCCAAGGGAGGGAGGGGCCTAGGGGAAAAGCTGAGTGCTGTGGACATGGGGTCCTGGAGCAGCAGTGCCCGGTACCGACTGGGATCTCAGGGTTGTCCCACCCCTCAGCACCTGGTTCTGTCTCCACCTGAAGGAGGTCATCTGGCTGGAAGAGCAGTCGGACAGCATCAGATTTCTTGATCACTAGACCAAAGGCTGGGCTCAGGCTGCCTGCTGCCCCTGGATTCCCATCTTGGGATCTCGGGGGACCATGCTCCTAACCCCCAAAGCTCCTTTCCTTAGACAATATTTGGATCCTCATCCTAACTCCATGGCCCCTCGGGGGGAGAAAAAAAGACAGCCAGGCACCCTGAGGATGGGTATTCCTCTGGGCACAATCCAGGAACCTGCGGAGTCCTGCTGGCTGCCTGCCTCCCAGTTCCCCCTTCAGCCTGTGTCCTGGCTTCCCTTCTACCTGGGCAGAGGCCAGCTCAGAGGGCCCTCTCTGGCTGGCTGAGGCCCAACCCCAGCACCCTTAGACAAGTGGCTCCTTGCTTGGCCCAGCTCACAGCCAGGCCTGAGGACGTTCACCGCTGTGAAGCTAGGAGTCCTGCCCTGGACCCAGCAGGAGGCCAGGTTTCAAGGGCTCTCAGCCAGGGCCTGGGCAGCAGGCAGGCTGTTGCTCAGAGGTGGCCCTACACGTGGGTTGCGTGTACTTGAGAAGACAGGGAGGAAGAGGATGCTGTGCCCAGCACCACGTTTTCCTAGCACTTTCATGTGTGCAGCTTTCTCTAACATTGCCTCAGTCCCAGAGCCGCTGGGCTCCCTCCTACGGGGAAGAAATCAAGACCGAGTAGCCATCTGGACCACATCTCTGAAACTCCGCATGCTCTACCTGGGCAGGTCCTTTCCTCATTTTTTCAARGACCCATTCATTCGCCCTTCCCACTGTGACAGCCCTGTGTCCTGTKGTGTGCCTACAGTGGGCAGCTCCTGACTTTAACCTTCAACTGTCCGTACTGGTTGTGCCATGGAAACTCTTGCTGCTCCCTGCTCCTTGATTTTCTCACTAGCTGGCCATTGGCCCTCTGCCATTGGGCTGCTTCTTGCATACACCATTATTTGACGCTCTATACCCCTGCCAGGTCTCTAAGATATCCCCAAGTCCCCACTCACTGAGAAATGCTCATCCAGGTGTCCGCAGACCTCTACATAATAGTGAAAAGTATATATATATGTGCTTAAGTAGGTCTGTACTGAAATAATGTCTGCACCCTATAAATTTGCAGCTGCTTCCAAGCGTTTTACGGTGACAACTTCTTGGGAAAAAGATGACTGCCCCTACCCACAAGTTTGCATCCTCTCTTCAAATACAGTTTTTTTATGCTATATTTCATAATCATGAAAATATTGAGACCCTTTTTATGGCTCTCAACCCCAGAACTCCTTCAAGTCCTCATGTGAACAAGAATGCCTTGCACCACTTCGGCACTTACTGCTGCCTAAAAGGGGTCACTACTAACAAAGCTTGAAATGACCTGTCTTCACAGGGTAGAATGGGTCCATGGAGAATAGATCATGTTCAAAAATTCCACTCTGAAAATACCAACAGGAATGGCTCAGCAAAAGCCTTCTTGGTGGTCCCTGAGAATATCAATCCGCAGAGAAGTCTGTTAAGAGATTACGTTCACTCTCTCCTGAGTTCCCCTCACCCCTACCTTTCTGTGGTATCAGAATTGAATCCAGGGCCTTTTGCATGCTAGCTACGCACGCACTCTGCCCCAAAGGTATATCCTTGGCCTTTTTAAAATTCTATTTGGAGAAAGGATCTTGTTAAGTTGCCCAGGCTGGCCTTGAACTTGAATCCTCCTGCCTCAGCCTCCTGAGTAGCTGGGATTACAAGTGTCCACCACCCTGCCCAGATCTTTTGTTGTTGTTGTTTTCCAAGACTATCTTCCTCTGATGCCTAGGCTGGTCCTGAACTTCTGGGCTCAAGCCCTCCTCCCACTTCAGCTCCCTGAGTAGCTGGGGCTATAAGCACATGCCACTTTATGGCCTCTTGGCAAGATCTATGGTATTTTGAACTTCAAAATTATTTTTTATCTTGTTGTGCAGTGAAATGACAAGTACAAAGGCAGAGCTCAACTTCAGATGCAGATATACAACCCTGGCAGGCAAAAATGTGTATTGTATCCACAGAATATTTAGGCAAACATTAACTTTATTTTAGGAGGGGAGAGGTTTTATAAATGATTTCTTCAAATGGATAGCTCCCTTGGTACATTTAACTAAGATCAGATTTATAAACAGCTCTCTCTTTCATGAAGTGAAATAAAACTGTCTTCGCTATCTTCACAAACTTGAAGAATGTGAAAAAAAAATGTACCACTAATGCCACTGGAAATGTTCACATGGCACACAGGGCTTCCCCTTGCTAGGTGGTTTCGAAAGTGCCTGGGATCATGGGGCCACCATGAGGCACAGGGCTGTCGGGGGGGAAAGGCCTTTCCCACTCTTGTGTTTACTTACGTCTTCTGACTCGAACACGTGGCAGATCATTTTATACTGCTTCTTCCCCTCCTGGGCCCCAGGTGTGGTCTCAATGCAATCTTGAGAGGCTGACCGGGGCATGCGGCGTCTGGCCATCAACACTACGATGTTCCCAATGTCAGCAATGTAGGAGATGGTACGCAAGGCATGGTCCATCATGGTTTCCTGTCGGGAGGGAAAAGGAGGCCCCAGTGAGGACAAGCCAGTGAAAATCACTTTAATCGGGCGTTTCTCAACCTTGACCTTATTGACATTCACTGCTGGGTGAATGTCACTGCTGGTACTGCTGGGTCAGTCTTTTTTTTTTTTTTTTAATTGGTTCTTTTTAGTTATACATGACAGTAGAGTCCATTTTGATATAATTATACAAGCACGGAATATATCTTAGTCTAATTAGGACCCCAGTCTTGTGGATGTACACAATGGTGAGATTCACTGTGGTATATTCATATATGTACATAAGAAAGTCAAGTATACGAAAAAATGTTCGATATTTTTAGCAATTAGAACATTATAAATTAAAACCACACTGAGACTTCAGCTCACTCCAGTCAGAAAGACAATTATCAAGAATACAAGCAACAAGAAATGTTGGCGAGGATGTGGGGGAAAAGGCACACTCATACATTGCTAGTGGGACTGCAAATGGTGCAGCTACTCTGGAAAGCAGTATGGAGATTCCCAAACCCTTGGAATGGATCCACCATTTGACCCAGTTATCCTACTCCTCAGTACATATCCAAAGAATTTTAAATCAGCATACTACAGGGACACGGCCACATCAATGTTTATAGAAGCTCAATTCACAATAGCTAAACTGTGGAGCGAATCTAGGTGCCCTTCAACAGATGGACAAGCCACTCTTTATTGCACAGGGCTGTCTTGTACCTTGGAGGATATTCGGAGCATCCCTGGCCTCTCTCTACCCCTAGATGCAATAGTAACTCCCCTTCTTGAGGGAGAAAACCAAAAGCATCTCCAGTAATTGCAAATGTCCTGGGGAGCAGGGGTGAGGGGGGTGGAGGCAACAGGGCATTTTAGGATGCTGATTTGTAATCAAAGTAACCAACATTTGGCTCTGCCTGCACCCAGGTAGGCATGAGATGGGGCACCCTATCCTCATTAGGATTAGAGGACATCTGTGGCTCTGGAGAAGGACCTTCCCTGCAAGGCACGTGGCTTTGTGCAGGCTCAAAAGTGGCCCRGCCCAGAGAAGCAAGGCAGGAAGGCCAATGTTGTCCACTAGACAAGTTCTTCCCAGGGAGCACAAGCAGCCTGGCCCAAGTCGGGAGACACTGAGGCAGCATGTCTGCCTCCCATGCATGGGTTTCCATAGCTGACTTGGAGTCCCAGGCCCCTGGTCCACTACTATTGATGGCTTTTGTCATCTGGCAGGAACCTCCACCAAGCATCTTGCCTGTGACTCCTCCCTAACAAGGATGCACACAAAGGCTCTGAAAAGCTAATCAGTAGGTCTTTTGTGCCTTTGCTTTCCTTTCACAAAAGGAAATCGGGTGTTTCTGTGACCTCTGGTGCCCTGTTCTTCCCCACAGAATCATGTCTTGCAGTGATTATTGCGCTCATTTGTGTAAGAGGGTGATTTGTTTTCTGGCCCATGCTACTGGGGGTTCATGATGACAAGACACAAGGGAGGGACCCTGGAAAAGGGAAGAGTGAGAGTAGTTCTTCAGCGTCTCCTGATTTCTGACCACTATCCAACTTCCTATCAATAGCAGAGATGTCTTCCTCAGACAGAGGCTGCCTACCAACACGGTGGCCATTCTCTCTCCTGCCCTTTCTGGCCACTTACAACTGCACCGTCTCTCACCTRTTCCCACCTCTCCAGTCCTTCAGTCAACATTTTTATATTTTAGTCAAACCAATTTTCCTGTTCAAGCCACTCTTCCAGTTCATCCTAAACAGTGACTTGGAACAAGTTCTCAAACCACCAATGGCCCATCCTCCTACCCTGGGTGTGGCACAGGAATATGAGCAAGAGAGTGGAGTGCAGAGAAGAATCACCACGGCAGGTGAGACAGCTGTCTGCCTGCCTGTAAGGTCCGCCTTCAAGTGGCATTTGGGAACCTGGATTTCAGTGGATTTGCCACCACCCTTAACTGATTAGGAGGACTCATTCAGCCTTAACTGCACAAACAACATATCCTAAGATGAATATCTCTGCTTTTCCTGGGAGTCTAGAATTTTGCTACATGCTGGGCAGAGCATGCCTGTATGACCTTCCCCTGATAAAGACCTTGGGTTCTGAGTCTCTATGAGCCTCCCTGGTAGATAAAACTTCACAATCATTGCTGGGGGAATYTAGCATGTCTCATGGGACTCCACAGGGAGAAGATTCTGGAAACACAATCCAGGTATCTCCTAGACTTCATCCACACACCATTCCCTTTGCTGAGTGTTATAGTTTGGGTGTGGAATGCCCTCCAAAAGCTCATGTGTTGGAGATCTGGTCCCTAGCCCATGGTACATGGAGACRTGGTGAACCTTAAGACACGGGGCCCAGTGGGAGGAAAGTTAGGTTATAGGGTGTGTGCCCTTGGAGGAAATGTTGGGATCCTGGTCCTTTCCTGTTTCTCTCTTCACTCCCTGACTCTTATGTAGTGAGCAATTTCCTCTACCTTATGCTCCCACCATGATGTGCTACCTCACTACAGGTCCAAAGGCAATGARGCCAACTCACTTTGGACTGAAACTTTTGAAACTATGAGCCAGAATAAACTCTTCCTCTTTGCAAGTTGATTATCTCAGGTATTTTGTCACAGAGATGTAAAGCTGACTAATACACTGATATTGCTCTGTATCCATTTGGTGAATGGATACATCAATAGGCCAAAATCCTTGAGTCTTCTTAGAGTCTCTACTTAGGGTGGTCTTGGGGATCCCCAACATTGATGGGTAGATGAAAGATAGAGGATGGAGAGGTTTGGGGGGGGGGTGAATTCAGACTGTGTCCACAAAGGATGAGGAAACAAAATCCAAGTCTGATAAACTGACAAACTAGATGCCTGGCCCCCTGTCAGAATCAAAGTTGCTCATCAAGTTCTGATCACTTGTAAGACTCTACAGAAGGGAGATGGGGGTGGGGGACACAAAGACCAGTGGGACAAAGCACAGGCCTAGACATGGAGACAGACATGAGAGGAGGAAGCTGAGTCCATTACCCACCCTGGGACGTGCCAAGGGCCTCAGTAGCTGGGCAAGGCAACATGATGCTCGGGTTAGGAGTGAGCCTCAGCATGAGCCATATAATGGGATTACTTCAGCTCCAAGATATGCCCTACTGYTTCCTCTGCCCCCAGATTCTAGGAACCCCCATGAATGGGGAAGCAGGGGAGGAACTCAGGGCTCCCAGCTGGTTTTCCCACCCACTCCTGGCCTCTTAATCCCTCAGGAAGTGACACATAGCTCATCTGCTACCTACCAAGCTTAYCTTTGTTCATTTCAGCAGGCTGGTATAGATAGTAGAAGATAGTATTAATAGTTTGGAATTTTCCTAAATTTTCCCTAAAGGCCCATTATTCTCTAGCCCATAGCAGTCTTGGGAGGTGATGGAACCCTGGAGGTGGGGCCTAGTGGGAGGAAGTTAGGTCATTGGGGTGTTCCCTTGAGGAGATATTGGGGYCCTGGCTCCTCCTCTGCCTCCTTCATTGTTTCCTGACTTCTATGAAGTAAGCAGCTTCCTCCACCACATGTTTCCACAATGATTTGCTACCTTGCCACAAGCCTAGCAGCAATGAGGCCAACTGACTATAGACTGAAACCTCCAAAACTGTGAGACTTTAGTCTTTCCAAGTTGATTATGTCAGCTATTTTGTTACAGTAATGGAAAGCTGATGAACACAGAAAACAAATGAGAAAAACACACTGACATTGGGAACCAGGGTCTATGCTGTCGGAACAAGGGTATATATGAAATTGGGGATGGTAAGCATTCTATGCTGCCAATAGGAGACATAAGTATAAACCCATGGCTTTTAAAAACATATACCATCTGGATTTGTGCATTGCCAGGCCCCAGGAGCCTAGAAAACAATGAGCACAGCCAATACCCAGGGCTTTTTCCTATATGTCATTGCTCACTAAGAGGAGCCACAGTGCCGCGAAGAAATGACCGATTCCAGGTCYGGAGCAGGAAGGCATAAGGTAAGGTGAGAATGTCTTTGTCTCAGAAAGTGTGGAAGTGTTCAACAACCGGAAGGAAGATGCCGAAATGATAATGCAAGTTAAAAAAAAAAAAAAAAGAATCCCAGAGTTCAGAGTAAAAAAGAGGGAGGAAAAAACAAACAAAATTAGAACACACTTTCTCATAGAACATCAGATAATAAAAATGGAAAGCATGGTATCCTTAGAAAAATCACCATTTTGCGCTTCCAATGTTATCCAAAAAGTCAGGTAAGATCATCGTCACCTGATCCCTCCTGCACCTGGGGACAGTACTTCTACACCTGGACTTTGTTCCCTGGGGTCCCCAAGGTGTGAACTCTGGAGATGGTTTATGTGATTTTAGACACTGTCTTTCAAACACTCACCTGTGTGTCAGCATTTAAAACTTTAATCCTCTGGGTGGAGATGAAGAGGTCCACTTCCGTCAGTGTCTGTGCATCCCCCTCGGAATTCTAAGAAAGGACAGTGGATGATGTTACCACTGGAAACATTATTCCAGCAAAGCCCTGGTGATTTCATTCATTACCCTGCATCCTGTGGAAGGAAATCGCAATGCCTTGGCCAAGAATCCATAGCTAAGTGAGAGTTTTAAGTTTTAAGGCAGTTTTTAAAAGGCACAGAGAAGAGGGAGAAAGCTGGCTTCTTGGAAGGTCATATAGGAAAGGGACACCTGGGGTCTATGTTAGAGTCTCCTTGACCAGCAGAAAGCAGGTTGAAAACTGCTGACCCTTGCTGAACTCACTGAACTCAGGCTGTGACTTCTTGGATTGGGGATTCCAACTCTCCTCAGGAAATGGGGAAGACATTTTCAAAGAAGATGGATTAAAACATCAGCTYTTCCTTCTCACTTCAYCAGCCACAACCAKATGGACCCCCTTGACCTTGCCCTCTGAAAACCATTAGGGGAGTGAGACCAAGAAKAGGCCCAGTGCAGCCCTCCAGTGACAGAAGTGGGGAGAAGCTGTCACACCAATGACCCTGGTTTGTCACCTGTGCTGGAATAAGCTCAGGGTTCAGCTGTGAGTCATGTTTCCACGGACTGTTGTGGAAGCTGAGTMAACTACTCAGGTCTGCCCCAAAGAAGGGTAGCCTTTCATTAGTTTTTTACACCTGGGAGAGTCCTAATTACGACTGCACGCTGGCAATGAAAAATAGGTCCTGTTGGTTTGCCCACTGGGGTGAATAATTCTGTGCGGTTACTCGGGAGCTTACSGTGGCAGATCTTCCAAACAGCAGAAACTAGGGCTTAATTATTCACCAGAAAATCTCAAGTCAATAATCTCCCTGCTGACAGTTCCTCAGGAATTCTGAGTCACGGAGCTCAGAATTATAATRTATTATAATGATAAATTTGTATTKTAGCTCAGTTTTYAGGGGTAAAGATCTGTGGGGCTTTCAGTCTACCACGGGATGATATTGCTTTTAACTAATTAGAAAGAGAACAGAGTCCTAAACAATCCAGCACCAGGACCATGGAGGAGCTTTTTCTGTTTTAAAAAATTGGGTTATGGGCTGGGGATGTGGCTCAAGTGGTAACGCACTCGCCTGGCATGCACGGGGCACTGGATTGGATCCTCAGCACCACATAAAAAAAATAAATAAAAATGAAGAATGTGTCCACCGAAAACTGAAAACTGAAAAATAAATATTAAAAAACATTTTCTCTCTCTCTCTCTCTCTCTCTCTCTCTCTCTCTTTCTCTCTAAACAAAAATTGGGTTATGTTCAAAATCAATAGGGTTCTAAGAGTTATATTCTTTAATTGTAACTCAAAACTTTCTTGCTCAAAGAGCAGGTCAAAGCCAGAAGTAAATCAGAAAAACTGCAGGTGGTCCTTGTTGTTACTGACAACAGCGGATGCTTGAAATACACCTGAAGTAGACGAGGCTCACGGTGGGTAAATAGATAGAGCCACAATCCTAGCAATAACAGGGAAGAGGACAGCCACCCATCATGCACCCTAGTGAAGAACAAAGGGAGTCCTACAGAGGGACCCCAGAGAATAGGGTGGGCCTATTCAGCATGCCCAAAAATGGGGTTCAGCCATTATCAGGTGTTTCATCAGCTGGGGACAGACCAGAAAAGGGGCCCTCAGCAATGACCCTGAGCATCTCACTGCCCTACAAAGAAGAACACGCCTTAATCCAAAGTAACCTGGGGGAGGTGGCCTGGGGGTAGGAAAGATGGTGGAATGTGATGGACAGTCTTGCCTTAGGTACACGTATGACTACACGTATGGTTTGACACTACATCGTGTACAATCAGAGAAATAAAAAATTGTGCTGGAACTGTGTACGATGAATCAAAATGCATCCTGTTGTCATATATACCTAATTAAAATAAATAAATAAACTAAAAAAAAAAAGCAACCTGGTTGCTGAGGCCTTTCTGAGCTGGATCTACCTGTGCCCAACCCTTCCAGACACAGTGGCAGACCCCAGGAACAGGCTGTGGTCCATAAGGACTCCCCTGCTCCCACCGATCCAAGCCCTTGACATTTCAGGGGTAGAATGAAAGGCTATAGGCAAGGGGCCCCTCTTCTCTGGAGGGGGCACATCCCAACTGCAGATGTGCAGCTGGGGCCCATTCCACTTTGCCCAAAGGCTCCCAGAGGAGGTCTGTTGGCAGAACACACTTTAGTCCCCAGAAGACTCAYTGCAGATGGAAGGGAGTCTGCAGCAACAGAAAATGCTACCACTTCAAAGTGAAGAGGGAGGACTAAATCTCTTGTTTTTTAAGCAGAAAGAAACATTAGCCAACAAGCCAGTGCCAAGTCTCCATGGATTTGCCCTGGACCTTCTGACACTGGGCATTGTGATATTTTCTGTATGAGGACCATGTTTAGAAAATCACCAGCCTTTATTAAATGACTAGGCTGATAAACAAAGGACTAAATGTCAATCCAATTTTTTAAAGTCTGTCCAGACTCCCAAAACTTTTTTTTTTTCCTTGTGGCACTGGGAATGGTACTTGAGCATGCTAGGCAGGCCCTCTACCACCGAGCTACACCCSCAGCTAGCTCTCAAAAACGATTTTCAGTAGAAAGGCAGCTCACAGGCAAACTGAGCTACTCATCATCCAGTTTTAGTAAATGAAACTTAATAAATGTAAATATCAAGAACAATTTAATTAATGCTGTACAGGAGGCCCAGGTACTAAATACAACACACTGTCATATCAAATGCCACATTTTAAAAAGTCCACATAGAAGAGGAGCTTCACAGCATTAGCCATGCTCTAGAATATGGAATAGTTTAAAAAATAAAAAATTCTTCTGTAAGTGGGTGATAAGAAAACAAAAACAAAAGTGAAAAACCATAGTGTCTTCAGTTTCATTCAAGCATCTAGGATTCTCCGACTAAAGGAAGAGAAAAGCTGTTTGGGAATACTGTTTGGATTCCCACCAGAAACCCCCCATGGTACAGAGCAAGCCATGGTCACACAGCAGACACCACTGTTGCAGGGCCACAATGGTGCTACACACCGCTTTTTTCTTGATCTTAGCAGCCTTTTGCATCCTCTGAGCAGCATGTAAGAGAAAAGAAAAGCAGGTGGGCACAAAGAGAAGGAGGACAAAATTATTTCAGTCTTGTGCTCAACCCCCCAATACTCAGGCCTGGCATCCAGCATAGGTCCCCTGCAGGGATAGGGGACAGTCACTGCCTGTGCTGAGCACCCAGGCTAATCAAGGGAAACCCATATACATGCTCGTCCAGTGCTAGAAATAACTGTCAATCATCCCATCTACAGAGGGTGCAACTGAGGACAGGAGAGATGGAATCAGTGGGCAGGAAAGGAAGCCAGGCTGGGTCAGGGGCAGAGGGTCCAGGTCTCCTGGTTGCTTTGCTTTTTCTTGACCACCAAGGATACCGCATGGCTTCCCTTTCCCTCCAATAAAGGAGGTCAGTGAATGGCAGGGCAGGGGAGGGGGCTGACATGCCAGGAGTACAGACCCCACCTTGCCCAGAAGGGGTGCTATCTCAGCCTGCTCATCCCCTCCCTCCTGAGCCCATTTGGTTTTGCTGACATGGCCCCATCTTCCCCTTGTCTAGCTTCACCCACTGTTCCAAACCAGACAATCCCACACGCATCTAGAACGATAGGTAAGTCCGAGTTTTTCTCGAGGTCATGTATTTAAATAAAACGTGACTTATTTTCCCTGTTCTGGAAGTACTTTGAGTGAAGCTAAAAATACACATACTGTATGGGACTTGAAGCTCCAAACATGCTCTACGACTAGAATGCTACGGAATGGTCATCTTTTAAAAACTGTGCTTCTGAGGGGCTGGGAGGACCATGAAGGACTTATTAAGAAGAGAGTGGCCTTTGTGGCCAGTCTAGTATTTGCTCAGCCAATATACAAGTCTCCCTCTGCCTTGCTGGGCACCTGGGCCATTCCCCTTTCTGTGCCAAGGGCAGTGAGTCAGAGCTGGACAGGACACGTGTGTTCCGCTGCACTCTTCCACTTCAATGCTCCCCAGAGAAGCCCAGCTGAATGAGCATCCCTCGGGCCTGGGAGTGCTCCTACCTTGACCCTGCTGACGGCCTCCTGTGCCTGCATCATTCTGATGTTTTTGGAAGGGTTGCGTTCAGAGAGCAGCTGGGTGGACCCCAGGTAGTTGGCAGCAAAGATGATCCCGTCGATGAGGTCTTCTGGCTCACAGGGCCCTGGAACTGAGCAGGGAGCAAAGTGAGTGTCTTCCAAGAGGAGAAGCGCCCCAAACAAGAGCTCACACACCTGGCCACAGCACACAGAACTCAGCAAGCCAGGACAGGGGTGAAGGAGAAGGACAGAGCCTTCTAGAATCTGCCAGCACTCCGGGGAAGCCAGTCTTCTTTCTCATTATCCCTGGGTGCCTGGTGCAAAAATCAACATGTGGGCCAGAAAACTCCTCGTGACCAGTGTCACAGGACCATTCCAGGATCCCGGGTGACTGTTACTCAAGGAAGTTCAACCTCCATGGTGACAGGCACATGCCATAAACTAGAAGGCACTACTTCCCAAACATGACAGCCCTTTCTGTACCTTCCAGACTTCTCTGGAACTACAGAGGTGACCTGAAAGAGCATGCTCTACTTCCTCCTCTCCTGTGCTGTGGGATTGCTGCTTGCCTGCAGCCTCTCATCCGATGATACTCCAGCCAAAGGGAGGCACAGGATCCCAGTTGCCTCTGGACTATGGCGACCCAACAGAACTTTGTTCTGCCTCTGTGTTGTTCAGTGCAGGAGACACTGCATTGTGTGTGCTGAGCACTTGAACTCTGGCTCCTGAAACTGAGGACTGAATCGTTTCCTTGGATTTACGGTTGTCCCTCTGCGTTTGTGGGTTCTACATCTGTAAGGTTCAGATCGCGTATCATATAGTTAGACTTATGATGGCTGGGCCTGCACTGAACATGCACAGACTCTTTTCTTGTCATTATTCCCTAAATGGTACAAAAATCAACATGTGGGCCAGCATTGACATTATCACAGCATTTACATTGCATCGGGTATTCTAAGTCATCTAGAGATGATTCAAAGTATGCACGAGGGTGTGTATAGGTTCTATGCAATACCACAACATTACATATAGAGGACTGGGGTATCCATAGATTTTGGTATCCACGGGAGTCCTCTGTGGATACTGAGGTATAACTATAATTTTAATTAATTAAAATACAAAAAGCCCCATGTTAGCCGCTAGTGGCTCCTGTAACAGTGCAGCACAGCTCCAGCGAGGGGTCGGCCAACCTCTTCTATTAAGGGCCAGATGGTAACTATTTTAGGCTCTGTGGTCTCTGTTGTAATGAGTCACTTCTCTACCTGAGGGGCAAAAGCTGTTGTAGACAATATGGAAATGAGTAGGTGCAGTCGTTATCTCAGTAAAACTTCATATAAGCAAGCCACGAGGACTGGCCTTGGGGCTGCAGTCAGCAAGCCACTGAGCTCCTCTGTACTATCACTGACCTTCCTCTGAGGCCCAGGCTGGCTGCCTTCATCCCCCCAGCACCTCGTGCTTCCTGGCCAGAGGCCTCCCTTTCAGGACCCTGGCTCCTAGTTTCCTCCTCCCACCCTAGCTGCCTCCACACCAGCCACTCCAATGTCCCAGGGCCAGCTATCCTGTACTTCCCTGGCCCTGTCACAAGCACCTTCTCCTGACCTCTCCCTACCCTCGGCCAGCTGCCCAGGGGTCTTACCTCCAACTCCCTCTGTTGCTTGAAACTATCACCCCACACCCCGCCCCACAATTAGGATGCCAAAGTCCACCACCTCAGTAACATCTGCCTGACACGCTCACCTTGCACAGTCTGTCTGCCCAGGGTTTGGGGAAACTCTGATCTGTTTTCTTTGGACTAGCGGCTGGAAAAAAGCTATCCCATGGGGGCATATTGCTACCATTATACATTTATCATAAAGTTGTTCCCCCAAAGCCCTCAAAACTCCTCAACAGCTCTGATACCTGTCTCTAGAAAGCAGAGCCTCACCCCAGGCACCAGCAACGTCCTACCTCCCTCAGTCTGTCTGAATTTCGGCTGCATTTCCCTCACCTTTTTCTTTACCACATGGCCGAAGTCGGAACCCCTCCTTCTGGGTTTTCCGTTCAGCAGTGAGGTCTCCCCCTGGGGTCTGAGGACCACCTATAAGCCCATTCCTCTGTTCCTACAGCAACCTTTTGTCCCTCGGGCACTTAACCAAGTCTTACCATTTGGGCCTCCCCACAGTTTTGAAATATCCTCCAGTTTCCCCAAGTACATTTAAAAAGGCAAAAAACAAAAACCTTCACCAGTGTCTCTAGTGGCCCTCCTCTCTCCTGCCTTTCAAAGCCAAAGGCCTAGAAAGAAATGCCTCTTCCCTGGTGCACCCCAGCCTGGCCATTGTCCTTACCACCCCATGGACACCATGTTTGCTAACAATGCCCAATACCTCTGGGCCAGCACATCCCGTGGGCCCTTCTGAAGTCACACCAGGACTCTCCCCCTGGAGTATGCCCCATCTGATCTGGGACAATCTAGGGGCAATTACCCTCCCCCCACCAAGTTCATAACTAGAGATTCTCACCCCAAGGCAACGGTATTAGGAGGTGGGGGCTTTGGGAGGCAGTTAGACCAAGAGGATGGGGCCCCTCACAACTGGGATCCGTGCCTTCTAGGAGAGAGTCCCAGGGAACTCTCCTGCTGTGCCTGCCCTGTGAGAACACAATGAAATGCAATAAATAATTCACAGCCTTGAAGGTGGCTTTCCCCGAAGCCACACCATCCAGGCACTCTGACCTTGAACTCTGAGCCTCCAGACTGTGAGAAACACATTTCTGTTATCTAAAAGCCACTCAGTCTCTAGTACTTTGTTGAAGCAGCAAGAACTGAAAAGTGAATCGACTTCCCCCTGAATTCTGAATACTCTTTTGGACTAGAAACCAGATCCTTCATTCACCTACTGCTCCAAGCCTCTTGGGTCCTCCATTGGAAAGTTGATGTCCCTAAGCCTCAAAACCCAGTTTCCTTGTTTGGAGGTGAGTACCCAAAGCAGGTCAGGAAAACTTTTCCCTGTCACCCCAACATCAGAGACCCCAGAGCTTGGAATACTGAGTTCTTGCTCACAACCTCAACCATGCTGCGTGGGTGCTTCACTCTCAGCAAGTGGCCAGAGTGAGCCGGTTGTCAGTCTCCCTGAAGTGACCTGAGAGGTGAACTTGAGGCTCCACTGGCACCAGACTGACACTGGATTCTGCCTCCATAGTCTAAACAACCCTCTAAGACTTTGGTTCTCCTAAAATTCTGGGAGAAAATGGCACATACCTTTGGGGACACCTGGAAAGAGACCTGTATGTTATACTTTCACCTTGCAAAGCTCAGCACTGGATTTTAAGAACTGTCTAAAAGATCTATACCCAGGGGCTCATGTATCAGGCTGAAATACCAGGAAACCACAGATGCACAAAGGCAAACACAGATTCTCACATGGAACCCTCAAAACTTCACCCTAAAGCCCCCAAAGGCTGTTCCCCCACCCCTAACGGTACTCAAGTTGCCTCTCAAGGGATTTTTCAATAACCTGGGGGCCTCTGCAAGACCCTCACCAGGACTGAGCTGAAGACCCTTCCAGCCTGGCCTACAGAAGTCGTTGATCTCTCTGGGCCTCCCTGGCCCTCCTCAGTGGATGGACACTCCAGCGGCTCTTGGATGCACAGTGGTTGGTAATGGTTTTGGCGGCAGGTACTTTAAAGCACTAAAGCAACATAGTGCTGTTACCGTAAGCCCAAACGTGGGCTAGAGAGCAACTCTCATAGATTTAAACATAGTGTTGAGACCTGAGAGGCAGGTAACCCTGGTATCTAGGGGCCCAGAGCCCTGGTCCAGGGTGCTGACCATGCTCCATGAGCTGACTTCTTCAGCCCTTGTGGGGGAGTGTGAAGGAGCACCCCACAGTGGTGACACCTCTCAAAGAAAAGTCCTACAAGAGCTAACCAAGAGAGGGGCTCAACTTCTGAGCCTGCAACCCCCCAGGCTCCTGATCCTAGGACCTATTCACCCTGGGTCCAGGACACTTGCTCCAGGAGTACATCAGGGACTAAGGAGACAGGGCAAAGACCCTGCACAGCTTTAGAACAGGCTCAGAGAAAGGGTCACCGAGTCCGGGGATTGATATAGGCTTTTTTTAATACTGCAAGAAAGACTGGGGAACTGTGCCAGGTTGGGTGGGGTGAGGAGGGGAAATGAATCTTTGCCTCCTCCCTAGTCTGTCACCATTTTAGAAGCAAATAAGGCACAGGCCTAGGCTTGCTTTCTCAGGCAATAAGGCACAGGCCTAGGCTTGCTTTCTCAGGACACTGGCCCCCACAGGCTTGGCAGATCTCTGCAGAGCTCCAAGGCCAGGCTCAAATCAGGCTCTTTCTTCTACCCCAGGCACTTTGGTCCTCGCTCTGGAACATACAAATCTCCCTGCCCAGCTGGGCAGGCATGGATGCGCCAAGCAAGTGGTGGCTTCAGGGCTTATAGGGGTGGTGCCAGGGGAGAAACCCTGCCCATCTGCCCACCAGCAGCAGTGGTTTGTACTCCAAGGGCACCTGTGAGGGGCAAGCAGAGGCCACCCGAATAGAGGGAACAGAGTTCCAAGCAGCACCCTCCACCCTGACCTCCAGGACCTTGGACTCTAGGTCCCCAGTTTTTACTACGTGTCACCTTGCCCTGGGGCTTTGTTCTCCCCAGTGCACATGGTTTGGAGCATTCATCATTTGTTTAGGGAATCACAGTGATGCCCACGACCTCTAGAGGGGCCTGAGGCAATGACAGTTACTGACCAAAAGATGGTGTCCCTTTGTCCTACAAGAAGGTGCTGGTCCTCCCAGCCTCCCTGGGGTGCCCTGGGCATCACACCCTCAATCAGCATCGGGGGCTTGTTCTGAACAAGTGAGCTCAGGTCCTATGTATGCATGGCACCCCGAGGACCCCAATCCCTGAGGAGAGGTGGGACAGGCCTTGCCTTTTGAATCAACTCCCAATGCCTTCTGACTCCTCCCTGGCCAGTTCCCACTGGGACCGCGGAAGCTCTCTGGATCTTGCTGAGTTTCATGCTCCTGTTTGAACATGGACTCATGTTCCTGAGTACATTTATGAAGGACTGGCTCCCTCTCCCCCTGGAGTGTGCCCATCTGATCTGGGACAGTCTGGGGGTGAATACTCCTGTGTGGGAAG